CATGGGGGGGAGGAGCTGCCATAAATCTTCCATGCTTTCTGCCGTCAGGACCCCAAACTGAGTAAACACAGCTGTTTCGCAGTGAAGGTATTTAGATAGTTCTCTATTCATTGTGTTCCTTCACAACGTGTAGGAGAAACAGGACTTGGTACTGCTCAGATCTTGAATGAACGGGTGAACTCACGAACTGTGGCACTGGGAAAAATTTGCACAGACCGGAAAATGCCACCAACATAACAGAAAACGTCAAAATCATCGTATGCGGCACTGAAATAGGAAGGGTGAATAATTTCTGAACTACTTCATAGTCAGAGGGTTCTGTAGAGGAGGCAGCTTAGCTCGGCAGCGACACCATGTGGGCAGAGCGTGGATTCCCAAGAGCAGCGTGTTTAACCGGAAGCGAAACACTGGATGTCTGCACAAACTCCTAACCTACAAGGCCGGTAGCGGGTCCAAAAGAAGGAACACGCCCAGAGCCTCTCCGTGTGACTTAATCCAAGCGGGACCAGCGGGACCAGCGGGACCAGCTAGAGATACAGAAAGGAAGACAAAACACAACTCAACCCCATCCCTCCCACACACACACACACACCCCAGCCCACCCCACCCCTGTCCATATGCTGAGCCAACTGCACAGGGACAAGGTGTCTTAAAATGTCTCAGCCTCAGCACTGGGAGGAGGTTGAGAAGAATCTTCTGGCTGTCCCAGAAAGAAGCTCTGTTTCTGTTTTAAAATGCATCTTCCTTTTGAGACAGGAAACACAATGCTTGGTCAGTACTAGAAAAGAAAACCCTGACCTCTGACCCCAACCTCTCTAGCGTGTTCAGAGCATCCCAGAGCACTGAGAAGCATCAAGCAATGGAGACACACCACAATCACACGTGTGTGCTCACTTCCTTGAGTTCTCAACATGACAGAACTCAGTCAAAATCAGGCAACCGGGGAGGCAGTCCACAGAGCTGACGCGGGATGGGTCAGGAAGACGGACGGGGCCCCCCGAATGAGAAGGGAGAGTTTCTGAACGCTATTCTTTCCGAGATTATATGTAGCGAGGTCCTCAATGGGGAGAGGTCTTATATGCTGTATGCAGAGCAAATACTGCCTTTCATCTTTTTCAAGAAGTTCATTAATATTTCTCCAGTCAATTACTCACATGTACCATCCCTACTGTCTCTGGCTATCATGGGACATCTTAAAAAGCCAAATTCACTCCGTGTGTGTGTGTGTGTGTGTGTGTGTGTGTGTGTGTGTGTGTGCATACACACACTGTATTATATGTGCACTGTATTATATGCATGTTTGAATATGTGAGCAAGAACAGCATGTGTGTGCAAACGTGTAGGGGACAGAGATTGACCTCACAGGCACACTCCTTCGTTTGTTTGTCACTTTATTTACTGAGGCGGGGTCTCTTGCTGAGCCCAGAGCTGGACAGTTTGACTTGTCTATCCGCTTGCCCAGAGATGCTCCTGTCTCCATACAAAACATCCTGCAATCACAGGCAGGCTGCTTGCTACACACGCCCAACTTGGAACCACCCAGTGCTTGTGGATCAAGAACTTTTCCCGGCTAGAGAGATGGCTCAGAGGTTAAGAGCACCGGCTGCTCTCCCAGAGGTCCTGAGTTCAATTCCCAGCACCCACATGGTGACTCACAACCATCTATAGTGGGGTCTGATGCCCTCTTCTGGCATGAAGGCAAGCATGTAGATAGAATGCTCATATACATAAATAAACAAATAAATGAATAAAAAGAATGTGCCCACTGTTCTGTCTCCCCAGTCCAAGAACTGAAAAAGGAGAATGCCAGCCTCTCTCCGGTGTTGCTGTGACGCTCAAGTATTTCAGCTGCACATGCTCTAAAGAGTATACCTGTTCCCCAGGGGACCTGTTCCCTGGAAAATAGCCAGAGGCAACTTTTCCTCTTCATTTCTCCTCTGCCAGAGCCAGGAGGCCTCAGTCCCAAGAACCCGTGGTTAGGATTCCGAAAAGGGCAAGGCCTCTCCACGCTGCCCTCTGGGCCTGGGAGTCCCAGGAAGTCACATTCCCATCTCCAGCTGCAACCCTCAACCTTCTACAAAGGAGGCTCAGTCACACCCACTGAAGACAGACAGCAGCCCCCGCCACAAGGCCTGGCCTCTCTCCTCTGTGACGTGTGTCTAAGAACCCGCTCTGATCCTCTGTGGCGTGTGTCTAAGAACCTGAAGCTCCGAGGACTGGCTTTATCTGGCATTTTTAATGTCATAAGTTCTGCCCGATGAACTAAAACATAAAACAGTGATAAGTAGCTTGGTGTTGGAATTCCTAAGATGAAGGCACAAACATCGGAAACAGGGCAAACTACAGAGCTCGGCTTGGTGGCACATATCTGTTGGTTTGTTTGTTTGTTTTTTATTTTTGTTTTGTTTTTCAAGACAGGGCTTCTCTGTGTAGCCCTGGCTGTCCTGGAACACACGCTGTAGACCAGGCTGGCCTTGAACTCATAGAGATCCACCTGCCTCGGCCTCCCAAGTGCTGGGATTAAAGACGTGCACCACCACCGCCCGGTAAGTGGCACGTGTCTGTCACCCTGGCACTCAGGATGCTGAGGCAGGGGGATCGTGGCAAATTCAATGGTTGGCCCTTGCTGCATAGTGTGCTCCAAACCAGTGTGGGCTGGTGAAAACTTGTCTGAAAATAAATAAATAAATGAATGAATGAATGAATAAAAATACACTGGCTAGAAATTAGGTGATGAAAATGTAATAGAGGAATGATTTTTAAATGAGAAAAGATCATCCTGTGTTGGTATTAAGTTTTTAATCAGACTGGCACCAGAAACTTGTTAAGAACACCTGTTTTGTTTTGTTTTTTTAACTCATTCAACCTCTCAACAACCCAATAATCTCAACTCTCCCAGGTATCTCCTCCAACCCTCACACCATCTCCTGGGGTCTGCATCTGTTGCTGTGAGTCAGTCCGTAGCAGCCACACAAAGCGCAGCTCCGCTCTCCTCCACAAGCTAAGCCTGCAGGGTCAGAGGCCACCGTGAAAGACAGCACCTCCCCTGCAGGCGGGAAGGGCGGATTTTGCTCTTTTCAGGCGAAACAGGTGGGCTTGGTGTGTGGGGTCCCCTCACCACCACAGTTTTGCTTTGTGCTGGCACCACCAGCCCCACAGACGGGCCTGTTACTGGCTGACAGCATGGAGAGCCCCACAAAATCATGTGTCACAATGAATAAGAAATTGACAGCATGCCACCGTGAAGGGCTTATAGTGAGCACACACCTGGAGAAGCTGGCAGGCTGCCCAAACTCCCATGCCCTTCACAGGCCAGCAGTGAGTTCAGGCGTGAGCACACTCCCGAACACATTCCCAACATTTCCATTTCCCTCTTAGAGGTGAATGACAAACACGGAACCCAAAGTCTTTCTTGCCACAAGACAGCAGCCGTCGGCACACGGCAAACAGAAATTGTGATTTTTCTCACTCAAAGACTTGCCGACAAAACCCCCTGATCACCACAACTGACTGCAGATTCCAAAAGAGTTACCCTTCAGCAGGCACAGGGGGCTGAACCCTGCACTCCCTCCCACAGGCGCCAAAAGCCAGAGTCTCAGTCATTCCGAAGAGCAGGACACTTGCATGCGGCCCGTGACGCCCTCCTGTGCACCTGAAACACCTAACATGTTGCCAGCGCTGTGAACAGTTGCTACACTGTACTGTGCATCGTTCAGGCCACGACAGGAAAAGCGGTCTGCACGTGCTCGGTACCGGCAGGATTGGGTCTAGCTGTGTACGTGTGTGTGATGTGTATGCGCAGATGTGTGTGTATGTGTATGTATGTGAGTGTACGATATGTGTGTATGTGTGTGTATGTGTATGATGTGTGTAAATATTTGTGTGTTGTATGTGTATGATATGCTATGTATGCAATGTCTCTGAGTGTGCCATGCACGACACATGTGCAAGTCGGAGGACAACTGGGTGTCGCTCTTCACCCCTCCCCTCTGCCTGGTTGGAGGCAGGGTCTCCTCCACTCACCACCGTGCAGGCCAGGCTGGCTGGCTAGGAGCTTCCGGAAGTCCCCATCTCTGCCTCACACCGCACACAGCACACGCTACTGCATCCAGCTTTACACGGGCTCTTGGGAATCAAACTCAGGTCCTCACACTTGCTCTTACACACTGAGCCATCTCCCTGGCCCAGTACAGGATCTTGACGTTGTTTCCAAATATCTAATCTTCAGGTGACTGCATCCAGAGATACAGAACCACACGCACAGAAATATCTGTGCACTGGTGACAGAGCTTTCACTTCCTTCCAAAGGGTCCACAAACCAGACCACACCTCCTAATTCCTCAGTCACCTCTACTTTCCTTACACACACACACACACACATATAGACACACAGACACACAATCACATATACACGCACAGACACTCACACACAGACACACAGACACGTATACACACATACACAAACACACACACATACAGACACATAGACACACACACAGACACTCACACAGAGACACACACATACAGACACACACACATAGACACACACACAGACACTCACACACACATAGACACACAGACACTCACATACAGACACACAGACACACACACATACAGAGCCACATACACAGACACACAATAGACACACACATACACACAGATTCACACACACATATATACACAGAGACACATATAGATACACACACATATACACAGACACGTACATACCCACACAGACACACAGATACACACACACACATATACACACAGGCACACATACGCATACATACACACACACAGACACACACACAGACGCACAGACACACACGCAGACATATATAAATGAACAATATTAAAGATACTGGCATACTATTATTATGGTTTCCAAACATGAAGTCAAAATCAAGAGTGGCCATGACTGACGAGTCAAGGAAAGGGGCCGTCGTTCTGAGGGGAGGGGCCGCCTGAAGCACGAGAGTCCTAGCTGAGCCCACACTCACCTCGGTGGCCAGCAGCAAGTACAGCGGCGTTAAGGCAGGGGCTTGTCGAGCATCACAGTTTAGGCCGAGGGTCCTCAGGATCTCCTTAAGGACGTCGTGCCTTCTCTCGTTGCTGGATTTGAGCACGTTGAAGTCTTCTTGGGTTTGCACCACGGAAGCGCTTGGAGGGAGTTCTAGGTGCACCTGAGGACAAGACAACAGAGGTAAACTGTGGGCGCCCGCATCGGAGAAGCAGTCTCCGCACCGGGTTTGATGAAAATCTGAACACGACTCTTTTCCCACCAACTCTGAGCCCAATCATCCGGAGCGCGACACCAAGAAACAAGAATACACGGATTGGAATGTGCTTCTTAAAACCACAGCTTCTGGGGCTCAGAAGCCACGGGGAACCCACGCCTGGGTGGTCACAGACCCTCACCAGATCAGATCATCAATCACCTGCAGGCCCTCGGGAAAGTCACACAACATGGACTAAAACATTTGGAGACATAATTATGCACACTACTGAACCTAAGGAGGCATGACGGGCCAGGCTGGAAACTTCCACGCTACCCTGCAATCGGGAGAGGAGAGTAGCATATCCATCACTGGAGAGTGTTTACAGCACTTGGGGTGAGGAGAATGGGCTTCCCAGACGACAGAAAGACCTTCCTGACCCCCCAACTGCACCTGACTGAATTCTAAAATCAGGGTCTTCCTACATGTAGTCCAGGCGTTAAAGCATGATTTAGGATATTTAGGATGCATACTGGAGGCCACATGAAGGTTATACGTATACAAACATCTCCAACAGCATCCTCGAGAGGATGAAGGACCACATTGGAATTTCTAGCTCCTACGGGAGCAGATTCTAACTGCGTGTCAGATTCTGCAAGTGCCTGAACATTCGGTAATAGCAAGCAGCCATGCGCAGTTTTATTCTGGTTTTCTCTACTGAATTTCCTACTGGGACACTGGGAAGCTAAGACAGGATGCTGCCGCCCTCGGGTTCCTTCGACCATTGGATCCTCACCTAAGCTGTCACCAAGGCAAACGCACTGTCCAAAACGGGGCAAATGGTGAACACTGGGGCCGATCTCAATGGGCTGGAGGGCAGTGGTCAGGTGGTAGTGGACAGCAGGTGGGCCTGTCCCCCAGACAGCCATTGACAAGGAACAGAGAAGAGAGGGTGCCTACAAGAGTCCGTACCCTAGGAAATGGACCACTTCATCCGCCCGAGCACACGGCTGCCCTCTGGGTTAACCGATAAAGGCGGCGGAAATAAAATGAGCACATTATGTTCCTCCAGGAGCTCCGGGGAGAGACGGAAGCACATGGCTGCTTTTGTGGCCTCACTGGATGGAATGGACGGAGTTTCTGTACTGGTGTGCAGGGCGTATCTGCATACAAGGAGGACACACAGGGAAAGGCTCCCACCAAGCTGCAATAGGCCTCCAGGCCCAAAGAGGCCGCCACTGAAGCTGGGGGAATGCTTTTACCTGCTGGGCCGTGGAGGTCGCTCAGAGGAGGATGCTTGCTTAGCATGCGTGAGACCCTGGGCGCTGGCTGCCCTTTCAACTAGAGATGCAACAGTAAACCTGTCGCTGTGGGCATGGGCCTGTAGCCCTGACACAAGCCACAGTCATCGGCTGGCTTGTCCACATCCCTGACCTGGCCTCTTCTAAGCTAAGGCTTCTCACCTGGACTGAAAGCCGTGTAAGTAAAAATGTCTCTAGTAACAAAGGCAGAGGCGGGTGGCTGGCAACCAATAGGCAGAGGCCAGGAACGCTGCTAAATGCCCACAGTCTATATGACCACACCTCAACACAAAGATTGACCCGGCTGAGGAACTCTGCTAAGAAACTTCCTCAGCTAAGCTGGGCAAACAAATGAAATCTTTTCTAATCCATTTTCAAACTGTATTTGGGCGACTTCATGCCAAAGTCCGGATCCATTTGATAATCTCGTACTCGCCTTAATTCTCGGTTTAACATTTTCCCAGAGGGCAGTCTGCCCAGCACAGCATGCACATCTCCAGCCCCTGTTTTTCTTGTCACTGTGAATGCAAAGGCAAGCAAGCCTGTCGTACTCTGTCCTTGAACTATTCGCCTTCTCTTACTGGGTTACATCATTACCAGATTTACTGCAGAGATGAAGGCTATGAAATCGAACAGAGAATGAGGAAACTGTGCAGCCAGTAATAATATTTACTGGCTGATTTCAGCGCGGTGACAGCAACAGAGGCCGGAGGAGGAAACAGTGACCCCTGCCACACGGGAGACCGGAAGTCATTTAGAACCAAAAATGCCACCATGATCCTCTCACCGTGATTTGTGAACCTGCTTCAGAATGCCTTTCCTTCTTCCTATGGCAACATACTGCAGTGTCAAATTTTATGACAGTACGGGGTCGATTTAAACGGTGCAGCAGACAGATGTGCCGTGGAACCCAGAGAAATGGGTTGCAACGTGCCGAATCAATTTTCTAGTACAAGTCTGTGCACAGAAGGGGATGGGTGGGGGGAGGAAGACTCTTCAAAACTGAAATACGGCTCCAGGAAGTGGAGTCTTCAAGCGAAGGTTTTGAGGCCGCATGGTTGCCATAGTGACCGTATTTGCAGAGGGAAAGATAAGAGGAACATTTAACTAGCCCATGTGGTCTGCAGCCTCACAGGAAATCAGTGTGAACGTCTGTCCCAGTGTCCGGATCTCTGTATTTGGAGCACCCCGGCCTGACCATCAGCTTTACAAACAATAGGCTTCAAAACAAAGAAACAAGAGCTGGAGGGCCGGGGTGAGTGGGGCCGCCCAAGTGTGAAGACCCGGGCTCCCAGAACAACACAAGGCCAGACTCCAGCACTCCTACAGGGATGGGGGGGGGGGAGACAGGGCAGCCCTCAGGAGCCTGTGGTCCAGGTAGCCTGGCACACTCAGGGTCAAACAAGAGACTGCCAAACAAGGTATAAGGCAAAGCCCATGTCCACAGCTGGCCTCTGACATGTGCACACCTGCAGAGAGAGACAGAGACAGAGGGATTTGTTACATCTGTCTGAATATTTGCATGCCTGTATGTACGTGCATGCATGCAATGCCTGTGGAGAGCAGAAGACGGAGACAGATCCCCTGGAAAAGGAGTCATAGACAGTTGTGAGCCACCATGTAGCAGCTGGGAACCAAACCCAGGCCCTCTGAAAGAACAGCCAGTGCTCTTAACTGCTGAGCCGCCTCTCCAGCCCTAAGCACCTAGGGTTTTTTTTTGTTTTTTGAGACAGGGATTCTCTGTGTAGTTCTGGAGCCTTTCCTGGAACCCACTCTGTAGAGCAGGCTGGCCTCAAACTCACAAAGATCTGCCTGCCTCTGCCTCCCGAGTGCTGGGATTAAAGATGTGTGCCACCACCACCTGGAAGTACCTAGGTTTTAAATGTTAACAAATCATAAGGAAAGAACAGAAGCTATGAAGATTTGTCCGGCACTAAATACATACATGACCTTAACATGATAATGCTGGTCTGGGTCACCTAACATGATAGGTGCTGGTCTGGATTCCCTGCTATGCCTTTGTGCTTCCTACACTAAACAAGGGCTTAATGATATAACCAGGGTACACTTGGGAGAAAGAAAATAAATCAGGTTTTAGGGTGACAAATGAGAAAGCATTTTGTGGCTAGCCCTGAGGGTTAGCTAACCTTGCCACCACCTGCCTCGGCTCCTCAATCACATGCAGTTTGATTGATCAGGGTATTCATAAAAGCCCTCAGCTAAGCATTCCACACCCCAGAAACTTCCACACACAGTCACACAACAGGAACTCAATCAAAAGTATGAACAGTACAATTAATCACTGGCACTGAGTTCTTGAATCCGTGTGTGTGTGTGTGTGTGTGTGTGTGTGTGTGTGTGTGTGTGTGTTTGTGGTGTGTGTGTGGTATGTGAGTGATGTGTGGTGTGCATGTGGGTATCTGTGTGTGTGTGTGTGTGTGTGTGTGTGTGTGTGCACAAGAACACATAAACTTACGGCTAGAGCCCACAGGGTAATCTCATAATTTCAACTGCTATTCCTCAGTACTGCCCACCTTGGTTTTTGAGACACAGCCTCTCACTGACCTGGAACTAAGTAAGGCTGGTTGTGCACCAAGCCCCAGGGACCCACCTGCCCCCCCCCCCGCCCCCCGCAGCGGGATTGCAAACGCGCCAGCACGCCCTGCTCTTTTCACGTGTGTCCTCACCTTGTAAGGTGGGCTTTAGTGCTGCCATTGTCACGGCTTCACACTGTCCAAACACGCGGAGAGCACCGTGTCCGCACCACCCGGTCCCCATACCTGGCAGAGAACAGCCTCCCCTCCGCAATTTCCAAAAGGCACGTGCACAATCATCTTCTCCTTGTCTGGGTTCTCTAGGTGACCCTGGAGTTTGCCCGGGCTGAGTCCTTCCTCATAAACAGCGCCGCTGCTCAGGACACTGAGCCGTACCTCACTCCCGTCAGCCTTTGAGAAAACCAGGTTCTGGGCTGTGTTCCGTAGCCTGTCTCTGCTTGTCACCTGGAAGCCACCAAATGTGAAGGAGGAACACAGGCCCAGCACCTTCCCTCCCTGAGAAAGATAGGCCATGAACTTCTGGTGTATGTCTTTGGGGATGGGTTCCCTGGTGGCAATAACCAATAGCAGGCAGTTGTCTGGCCACGGGTCCCGGAGAGCACCGTCTTCCGGCAGATGGTAGAGAGCATAACTGTCAGTGTCCACACAGTCAGTCAGGACAGACCGCACCTGCTGCAGCCGGCCAGGGGCTTCCTCAGAACTGGAGCCCACGTACAGCAGGATGTTGGGTGCCTTTCCCGAAATGTTGCCTCTCCTCCGTTCCTGTTCAGGGCAGAGTTCATCGGCAGCAGCGCCATCCACAGGGCTGCTGTTATCACAGGGAAGGTCTGGAATGTTCTCTGCCGATGCAAACCTCACCGACTCGATGGTACTGTTCTCAAGTTCCAGACACTCGTGGCAACTGGACAGGTGGAGCAGACGGTGCTCAGCAGAGCTCTGCCCTGGATCGCCATCTGCAGTCGGCTCACTTCCCGAGGCACAGCCTCGTCTCAGGCGGGAACAGCCTTCACCAGCGGCCTTCAGGTCACCTGGGCCAGAATGCTCCATGATGCCCTGGGCAGGCTCGGCCTCAAGGGAAGCTTCTGGGCTCAGGGGCTGGGCCTGGACTTGCTTGGTGGAGGCCCCGTTGACTTCCTTCAGAGCGGGATCCTTTAAATGCACTGCTAGAGCAGGGATGGGAGAGATCATTAGTCAGCCCTACTGATCAGAAATCCAACAGACTAAAAGGTACTTCCTGTCCACCCCAACCCCCACGAGGAGTAACTGTACACGTCTACGGTGAGGTCAAGCCTGCTGGCTAAACCTGAAAGTAAACATGGCATTGGGAAGTCACAATGGCCCTGTGACGAATCGTGTGGCACCCCAAGGAAACATTTTCTGAAGTCACTTACAAACAATCTTCTGGGCTATCAGTCCATTATCCATCTGGAGCCTCTCCTCCATAAACGCCGCTCCAAGCTTGCTGAAGTTGTCCACGCTTGCTCTAGCAATCAATTGGTAGGGATCCCCGGGTCGGCAAGCTAATGGCAAACAACAGTCGGACCATTTCACAACCTGAGGAAAAAGCAGATGAGGGAGGAAGAGGGGCTGAAAGTTTCCACCTCTCCAATGGCCAGACATGACACTGTACCCTCAGGCTCCTAGGCACCAGTTACGGCCAGACAGGCTGCATCCGGTCCCTGGCACTACGGTACAGCCAGACAGGCTGCATCCGGTCCCTGGCACTACGGTACAGCCAGACAGGCTGCATCCGGTCCCTGGCACTACAGTACATCCAGACAGGCTGCATCCGGTCCCTGGCACTACAGTACATCCAGACAGGCTGCATCCAGTCCCTGGCACTACAGTACATCCAGACAGGCTGCATCCGGTCCCTGGCACTATGGTGCAGTCAGACTGCATCCAGCAAGTTACTAGCTATCGCCTTTGATCAAGAGCAAAGACGTTTGGGCTTAGACATCCTCACCCCGACCTAACAAGGGTGACTGGTTTTAAAGCACTCATCAGAGCTCAGATATGGAGATACACGCCCCTCACACCACCACCTGCTGGAGGAGGCTACGGCCTGAGGGTCTCAAGTTCGAAGACAACATCAGCCACATACTGAGCCCCTTCCTCAAAAACTCAAAGAGGAGAGCTGGAGGAATGGTTCCACGGCTGGCTGCTTTCCAGAGGACCTGGGTTCAGTTCCCAGCACCGGCATGGTGACTCATGTGTAACTGCAGGTCCAGGGAATCTGTTGCCCTCCTCTGGCCTCTGCGAGGCACAAGTCATCCGTGAAAGCAAAATTCCACACACATAAAAGTGAGTGTAAAAGGTAATACTAAAATAAAAGTAAGTGTGACTTAGAAATAAATAAAGGTGGCCAAAGTCTCAACTGCCTTAGGGTAAAGGTGAAAGGCGTATTCTCCAGACGTGTGACGGGCACAGGGCAGGAGTCTCCCGAACACCCAATGACGTGAAGGGGACCTGCCCAGCAGCCAGCAGGGGCAGCTGCAAAGACCTACCCGACAGCACAGAGACCCTCCACCAGAGTGCATTCCCGTCCTCTGACCTCTGACTTCCTCCTGTGTGTGCTCCATGGCTCACTTACACACTCACATACAGGTATACACACACACACACACACACACAGTGACAGTGACTGTAAAGACGGCACAGACAGTTCACGAGCCTACCACTAGAGGGCGAGAGACACGAGGCGAGGAAACAGCCTTCCAGTTTGGTTATCCAAGAATTTCACAAAGGAGAAGAGGATGCAGTTGAACAGGAAACCTGGCTGCAGAGTCCAGAAAGCCTGAGCCAAACTCAAGCTCCACTCACCGCCGCTCCCGGGCCCTGTGCAAGAATCTGCACCTCCCAGCACCCTCTTTGTAAAGAAGGAAAAATGAAATGACAGCATTACTCATCACCTCAGGTCTGTGTGGCAGTGAGTTTACTGACTGTGCATAAGGCCACCGGGGGTGAGGGGTCACTGAAGAGCACTTCTTGCTGTTTCTGAGGACCTGAGTTCAGTTCCCAGCACCCGGGATCTAATCCCCCCTCCTGATCTGATACGCATAAATATAAGTCAGCAATACATCCAATTTTTATTATTATTATTATCATCATCACCATCATCATTATTAAAGGAGTAAAGCTTGGCTAAAGTCCTCAATTAGTACGAGCTGTTTCTACCAGCAACAGCAGCCTCTGTGCTACCATCATTTACCACCAATGAATGAGTCCTCTACTCCCCAAAAATGTCCTCAAGGGCAGACTACCCCACAGTTTACAACCAGGGGTGCAGAATTCTGAATTCCAATTTCTAAGTTGAGGGGATAGGTTTTAGAATAAATTTCCTACTGGAAAACCACACACACGCAAAAAGAATACACTGCTGTAATAACCAGAAATCCAAACGTAGAAGATGGAGATGGATGGGTCCCTACCTCTCACCCGAATGGGGTCAAAGGCGAAAGTGTAAAACCTCAGAAGAAAACAGGTCAGACTGTCAGAACCCAGAATCAAACAACAGTTTCTCAGAAATGACACTAAAGGTATAGGCAACATAAGAAAAAAAGATTAAGGGGCTGGAGAGATAGCTCAGTGGTTAAGAGCACTGGATGCTCTTTTAGAGGACCCAGGTTCAATTCCCAGCATCTACATGGCAGCTCACAACTATCTGTAACTCCAGTTCCCGGGGATCTGACACCTTCACACCAATGCACATAAAAGAATTAAAGAGTAAAGATAAATTGTAAGTTACCAATGCTTTTTGTACATCAAAGGACATTATCAAGAAAGTGAAAAGGTAACACACAAAGGCTAGGGGAGGATTTGCAAATCTCAGCAAACTCCTACAACCAACAGGGACAGAGTAAACAATGCACTTTTATAGTAAACAGGATGGAGTTTGGATACATTATTTCTCAGAAAATTATAACATGCTAATGACCAATAAATAAAGTAAATTCAAACCAAACCGCAATGAAGTATCAACTCTATACCCGCTACGCTGGCTAGCATAAGAATATGGGCAAGCGATCCGGCTGGATATGAATCCTGAGCCAGCAAGAGGGCTCAGCAGGTAAAGGCACCTGCCACCAAGCCCGACTGATGAGTTGAGTTCAGTCCCCAGAATCCACATGTGGACAGAGAGAACTAATGCCTGCAAGTCATTCTCTGACCTCTGACTTCCTCCTGTGTGTGCTCCATGGCTCACTTACACACTCACACACAGGTACACACACACACACACAGGTACACACACACACAGTCACACACAGGTACACACACAGAGTCACACACAGGTACACACACATACACATACACACACACAGAGTCACACACACAGGTACACACACAGGTAAACACACACACACAGTCACACACAGGTACACACACACAGAGTCACACACACACAGTCAAACACAGGTAAACACACACACACAATCACACACAGGTAAACACACACTCACACACAGGTACACACACACAGAGTCACACACACACACACAGTCACACACAGGTAAACACACACACACAGTCACAGACAGGTAAACACACACACAGTCACAGACAGGTAAACACACACACACAATCACACACAGGTAAACACACACACACAGAGAATAAATGAAACAAAATAAAATTTCAAGAAAGAAATTGGAATTCAACACACTGCTGTAGAGATGCAAAATGGTTCAGCATCTTCAGGAAAAAGTTTAGAAACACTGAGTAACCACAAGACCAAGCAATTCCACCTCAGTATGTGCATAAGAGAATTAAAAACAAGCATCACATACACATACACCCTGTATGTAAATGCTCACAGTACTGTACATAATCCCCTAAACCAAAAATAACCCAAATATCCTGCAGCATCCATTAAAAGGGGAGAAGTACCAATACATTACAACACAGATGAATCATGAATAGCTTGGAAGATGCTGTCTCACTGGAGAGGTGGCTCAGAGGTTAAGAGCACTGGCTGCTCTTCCAGAGATCCTGAGTTCAATCCCCAGCAACCACACGGTGGCTCACAATGATCTATTATATAGGGTCTGATGCTCTCTTCTCACACTAAGAGTGCAGATAGAGCACTCAAAAAAAAAAAAGAACCTGTCTCAGTCAGGGTTTCTATTGCTGTGACCAAACACCACCACGACCAAAAACAAGTTGAGCCAAGCTGAGGAGGAAAGGATTTATTTGGCTGATACCTCCACAGCACTATTCACCATCAAAGGAAGTCAGGACAGGAGCTCAAGCAGGGCAGGATCCTGGAGGCAGGAGCTGATGCAGAGGCCATGGAAGATGCTTCTTACTGGCTTGCTCAGCCTGCTTTCTGATAGAACCCAGGACCAGCAGGGCTCAGGGATGGCCTCACCCACAGTGGGCTGGACCCTCCCCCATCAATCACTAATTAAGAAAATGCCCTATGGGATTTCCTGCAGACTGAACTTACATAGGTATTTCTCAACTGAGGCTCCCTTCACTCAGATGACTCTAGCTTCTGTCAAGTGGACATAGAAACCAGCCAGGACAGATGCCAATAACTAAAGGTCACATATGATCCTACTAATGTAGCAAATCCAAAACAGTCAAATCCACAGCTTAGTGATGGGGGTAGATGGTGATTGCTGGTAGGGGACAGTTGCTTTCTGAGGTAAGGAAGGCCTTCTAGGCCAGACAGGGGTGATACTGTATCAGAAACCATGTAACTGAATTGTATATATTAGAAGGGTAAGTCTTACCACATGTAAACATAGCAACTTCTTAAAAAGATATTTTTTTATTTATTTATGTCTCTGTGCACAACACCCACTGCTACCATCAGACACCTGAAGAGGGCGTCAGATCTCCGCGGAGCTGCAGTGGTTGTGAGCCGCCCCTGTGTAGGCGCTGGGAAGCCAACTTCACTCATGTGCTCAAGAGCTTTAACACAGAGCCATCTCTCCAGTCCCACACGCCAGCCTTTTCTCTTCGGGAGGCCAGTGAAGCCACCTGGCTACGTCTGTGCTCTGTGGGACAGTCTAGTCGGTAAGAGACTCAACACAACAGCCTAGCCATGAACGTTGGAGCTTGGGCAAACCGAGCTGAGCATCTCTGGTCTCCTCTGAGCTCACTTCCTGTCTAGATGACGATGGATGGGATAAGAGTGTTCACCTGGAAGCTACAGGGGGATGTGAATACATGCATGCATTCACACACACCACACACATACATGAGAGAAAGAAGAAAATAAATAAATAAAAATACGCAAAGCCCTGATCCCTTGGATGCTGGTGGGCAGTTGGAGAAGGCCACAGATAAACACTGTGCTAATGCCTGGTGGGGGAAGGGACAGCATTGTCTTTGAAGGAGATTGGAAGGAGATGCTAATGCCCGGGCAAGGGCAGGCTTTTCAGATGAGAGCGAAGGAGCCAGGTAAAGGGACAGAGCCGAGGAGCCCTGGCTCCAGAGTGGGGCTAATAGCATCACAGATGTCAGCTTCGGACAGCCAGAAGCGCTCAGCCCACAGAGCTGCCCCAACTGCCTCCGCACCTACTGGCTTCAGGGAAAAGGAGCCAGCGATCAAATTCTCACACAGCTCTGAAGGAAGAGAGGCGCAGGGAACAAACAAAGGAAGGGCAGGAACAGGAGAAGACCGCAGAACAATACGCACACATCCCTGATCAAGTCTCCCAACTGTTTCCTCACCTAAGTGCACTTCCTTTCTCTAGGAACAATGTCTGTGAGCCATGGACCATGGACAGGGGGCTCGGATCAAAGCAAAGCGCCACTGTCACCGATACTCCACGGAGCTGGGGGGGGGGGGGCGTCGCCTTCCAATCAACAAAAGCAAACTGGACGCTTCCCATTTGCACGGGGAGATGGGCGATAGAGACAAAGGGGTAGGGAAGAAAGGGGAAGCCAAGCAAAAGGCTGACTGAGCCCAGCGATCAAAGCTGCGGAAGCCAAGGCTGGTGTGAGCACAGAATCCCCTCCCACACACCACAGACAGATCTTATCGGATCACCAACGCTCTGAAGGCCTTGTCACGACGTATGACGACATGCACGGATTCGCCTCGGTACTCCGCTCCCAGCAGCGGAGAGTGACACTGCAGTGATAACCCTCACTCGGCAGAAGCCCCTACGAGCTGTCCAGCTGCGAGGCTTGACATTATGTTCATTTCTACGATGTGCTGTTTATCTGCTTCTTAATCACCCAAAAATGCATGCTGGGTTCCCAAAAGGTCTAGTTGGCAGGCATGGTGGTAAATGCAGGAGACATGGCCTGCGTGCAACGTGCATGCCTGGTGCCTTTAGAGGCCGGAAGTGGGTGTCTAATCTCCTGGGACTAGAAGTTACAGATGGTTGGAGATGCTGAGAATCGAACCGGGGACCTCTGGAAGAGCAGCCAGTGTTCTTTAACCACTGAGCCATCTCTCTAGCCGCCCCGACATACCTATGCTGTGGTATAGACATGAGCCTGTAAGACACAGTAAGGACAGACACAACAGGACCTTGTCTTCTCTGGGTAGACGGATAGAAAGGGGTGATACCCAGAGACATGAAGCCACTGGATGGCCAGGTGTGGTGGCCAATCTTCATGCTCAACCTGACTGGATTTAAAGTGACCTCTGAAACACACCCCAGGGCTCGTCAACTCACTGAGGAGGGGATTCCCACCCTGACCATGAGGGGCTCCATCCCGTGGGCAGGGACCCTGACTGAACAAGAAGCAGAAGTCTGGTGCGTGCCGGGATTCTTCGCTCTTTCTGGTTCTCCACAATGGGAGCAAGCAGCCTCACTCTGCTAAGGCCACAGCCTCAGACCCTCCAGCACATCCTTCCCTGCCTTGATAGACAGTGGCTGTCCTCACACCGTGAGCCAAACAAGCCCTCCTTCCCTCAAGTTCTTTCTTGCGGGATATCGGGTCACAGCGCCAAGAAAAGCAACAGACACGAATCACCCCACGTCTAGATCTGAAGTTCCGACATCCTCAAGCCAACCACTCCCTAGAGCCCCATGAGTATTCTACATAAAAACGCAGACAAACAACAGGGAGTCTAAGCAGACGGGTGCTGAGCCACAGGCATTGCAGCCTCACGTGCCACATCATGACAGAGCATGCTGGCTGCAGGGACCTGTCATCTGCTCAGCACATGTGACCGCTGCACAGGAGCCTTCCATCTGCTGAGCCGCTGCAACCTCTGCTCAGGAACCTTCCATCTGCTAAACCACTGCAACCTCTGCTCAGGTCCTTGTACTCATGGGAAACAGGAAAGGCTGACGAAGCAAGGGAACGGACAAGATGTTGGAAAACTGGACAGCCCATGTTCCAAGCTGTGGTCCTTCCATCCCATGGGCATCTGACCCAAAGCGTTGCTTGACCCAAGATGTCCTCTTGCTTCTCATGACACATCTGAATTGACCTAACCGATTGTCACTTGGTATACCAGACTCCGTGTTGTGACCACCAGGACAGGGGAAGCAGGGGATCTCGGTGAGTTTGAGGCCAGTCTGGTCTACAGACCTTAGAAAGTTAACTCAGGTGATGGCTGTGGTGGGCAGGCTAATGCATCCCCACATCTAGTGTTCCTTCTTCCCCTGCAGTAACAGAACTCCGAGTCTGCTGAACCCACAGTCTAGTGAGGGACTGGAGTTCTTGTCGTCCTCTATAGCTAAGGGACTAAGGAGACTGTGTCTAAACTCTAGGCACCTGGATGGGAGCCGCAACAGCCCAGGCAGTTTCTGGATCACAGTGCCAGAGAGGAGGCTAGCCACCTTCTGCTTCTCTCTGGTCCCCTATCTTAAGGGCTGCAATGTGGGTGATGTTGCTGGCTGGGTGGCAGGGCACAGCAGGAACAAGAGGCCGCATCTAACAACGCATCTAACACCCACCTAGGATGGCAGACACACAAAGAAATCGGCCCCTAGGAGCTTTGAGGCCTCACTGAGAGGGTAGTTGGCTTTTAGGCTGCCAGAGCCGCTAAGTCACTAAGGGACACTTTGTTACAGAAGCTTGGCAGATAGGACTGCTACACTGTTGCTAAAGAGACAGTGTCACCACCGCTGTGGAATATACAATAAGTAAGGATTTAGGAAATTAGAAACTATACCAGTGGGGGCGTACCCCATCTCTGTGAGTTTGAGGTTAGCCTGGTCTACAGAGCCAGCTCCAGGACAGCAAGAGAAACCCTGTCTTGAGAAACCAATAATAATAATAATAATAGAACAACAGAAGTAATTGTTTCAAAATACCCTACAGACTTGCCTAAAGGAAATCTGATGGAGAAATTTTCTCAATTGAGGTTCCCTCTTCCCAGAAGACCCTAGCTTCTGTCAAGGTGACAAAAATCTAACCAGAATACATGACGACCTGAGTTTGATTCCTAGGACCCATTTAGTAGAGAGAACTGGCTCGCTCAAGTTATCCTCTGACCGCCATACACGCTACAGCATATGCACACATGCATACAAACAAATAAATTAAAAATAAAAAATAAATACCCGAGGAAGAGTAGGCAACATAACACAAACTTTTCAGATTAAAAAATAAATAAATACAAGCACTTTATGTGACTTAACTAAATGATCATTTACCACCTGTTATTAAGTGAATGCTTTAACAGTAAGTATGTAGATGTGCAGCAGTGGCGCTCGCCCTGAATCCCAGCACTTGGGAAGCAGAGGCAGGTGGATCTCTGTGAGTTCCAGGACAGCCAGGGCTGTTGCACTGAGAAAGTTCATCAAAAAGGCACTGTCTCAATAATTAGTCTCCTGATAGCAACCACCGTCAGTCACAAGCATTGCTGACCGGGCTAGGTTTAACAAAACCTTCCCCTGTTTAGATGGAAACCATCCACATGTCCCTGGGGCAACCAGAGAAGATATGAGCACTGAACATCGGTCACAACGTTGCCACTGGTGGCTTTAGGCCCTCAGCTTCCAGCTTCTTCCACAAGAACGATAGAGGCAGGAGGCTCTAAGCATCAGATGTGATCCTCGCAAAATATCTCCAGGGACCTGATAAAGCCTGTGCCACTAAGTGTAGAAAAGTGGAACAAAGCTTCCTGAACATTCTGGAGAGGACGTGGGGGTGTCTCAGGACACCAGCCAGCTCCCAGGCCTGCCTGCCAATCCCCACCCACACCTGCCAGTCTCTCTCCTTTCCCGTCTTCCCCTAGCCCAGGCCTTGCGAGCTGCTCCAGCGTTCCCTACTCCCTCTTTTCCTTTCTCTTCTCCCAGAAGAATGTCTTCTGTACGACTATCACAAAATTAAGATCCCACAGACTCAGGTGTGCACAGCAGAGTGCCCAAAAGGCAGGCAAGAGGTACACAGTAGGCAAGTTAGAGCAGGAAGCCCATCAGTCAGAGCCAGGAGACCCCGGCTGGGGGAGGAGTCAAAACCACCACCTTACGGACAAGGATGGCACTTCATGGGTGGGCTGCCTCAGCAGGAGTGTCCCAGCGGGGTGTGCTCCGGGACGGGAACTCTAGCCATTGAGGGGAAAGCCAGCAGAGAAAGGCCATAAGACAAGACAGGAGAGTTCTCCAGTGCACACACACAAGACTCGAGAAGGAGATAAAGAGAGGAGCCATGAAAATGAAGACACAAAGCAATAACACCAGGGAGCTGTGTCGATCAAAACTGTAGTTTAACGGAAGTGAGAAGGAGGCAACAAGGTGTGGATTTGGAATATTCTTCCTCTCTGTCTCTCTCTCTGTCTCTGTAAGCAGATTGTAAACAGAAAGTTCTGGATCTGTGACTGAGTCTGAAGTATGTCCAGCTCACTTCGGACAAGATATCCAGGAAGGAGGTAGTCATTAAGTCAGCCGTTCAGGGTACCAAAGGATGGAATAAGGAACAGATCACACGATGGACCAGACCAGCCAGGAGAGAGGGCAGCTCGCTGTTATCCACATGCATTATGTACGGCTCAGTAGGTGAAGGTAAACTTGCTGCCAACCCCAGCAACCTGAGTTGGATCCCCGGAGCCAACAAGGCAGAAAAGGCGGACTGAGTCCGGGCAACCGAACCTCAGACCTTACGTGCTAACTTCCATGTGTACACATCTCGACAGTCAACCAATCACTACTGCAACATATAGGAAACAAGAAATCCTATATAAGGTTAAAAAAAAAAAAAAGATTACATGCTTGCCCTGTTTGCAGAGAACCCGAGGGTAACCCTAGCACCAAGTTACAATCCAAGCCGATGCTCCTTCAGACCCTTTGGGAAGGAGGGGACCAGCAGACTGCTGCGCCTCACTCAGCTCCCGGTGGATAGAAACTAAACACACACATACACACAAACGCAGGTATATGCACACGAAACAGAAGACAGTAATTTTACTAGTATAGTATCGGTTACATAACCCAATATATCCCAAAAGAAAGGAAGCCACCCACAAAGACCAGGAAAGAACATTCATTACAAAACTATTACAAACGAAAAGACCACAAAAAAAGAAACAAGAAAAAAAAAACCACTCAGGTTTGGCCTAAGACACACTCTAAGGTACACAAGTAGAACATGGCACTCACGGTTTCTGAAGACGATGGCTTCTGGAAACTGTCAGCTTGTGCCCAGATGCTCTCTGTCACGAACGCTATGTGCTCTGCCTCAAGTACAAAGGGGGAAACAAGGAACAGGGCCCACTTGTTCAAGTCTTCAACAGACTACAAAGGAAGAGAGGAAAGCAGGGCTCATTTCAGACCTCAGGGGCCACTCACCTCTGCATCCTGGCCTACCCTCCTCCCCTGCTTCCTCGGGTAAGATCTGCCCACGTGCCACACATGCCCGTGCAACCTCCGCTTCGTGTCCAACTGTGGTGACTTTCTGGCTCACGAGAATTCCAAAGTCTCTGGATATTTGTTTCCATGCAAGTAATTCTGACACGATTTCTTTCGGTTTAATGTATATGAGCTCCCGAGTCACACTGGGAAGGGTGAGGCCTGGAAGTGTTTGCCTGAAGGTCACATAATCTTCAAACCCAGAGACGTAAATCGGGGAAGCCCTTTCTGACGCAGAGACAGACGTGGGCAGACACGCTTTGAAGGAAATCTACGCCCCAGTGGAGAATTCAGCGGGGTCTGCAAGGGCGGATTAGACACAGGACTGGCTAGCTATCAGATACAGCTGGCCTTTTTTACGTGTTCAAACAAAAAAGTTCTTGTCCTCTATACAAATAAACTGACTTGTTCTTGTGTTAATCCCTAAACTACACTGTGTAATAGCCATTTCCATAGCTTTTGCCCTGTATCATGTATGGGAGGCCTGGAGAGGACTCCAACACCGAGAGGACCCACACGGAACGCAAGGATCCTGTCACTTTACGGGGACTGGCCGCCCTCGGGTGCAGGCAGCTTGTTTAGGCGAGCTGTCAGCCTTGGAAATCCATTTCCTTTATTTTCAGATTTCTGGAGGAGGACTGTAATTCTATTTTAAAAGGTTTTAGCCTGCCAAGTGGTGGTGGTGCACACCTTTAATCCCAGTACTCGGGAGGCAGAGGCAAGGGGATCTCTGAGTCTGAGGCCAGCCTGGTCTACAGTTCCAGGACAGCCAGGGCTACACGGAGAAACCCTGTCTGGGGGAGAGGGGGGGGCAGGGAGGAGCGATATCCAGAGCAGAAAAAGCAGACCTCTAAGGCTGTGAGAACCTTTTGGGAGTCACAGCCCTGAATCAAAAACAGACCTCAGTAAGATGTGAGCAAAGCTCAGGGGCTACCTGTGCAAAGCAGGGGGGGTGTGTGACGTGGGGCAGGCCAGGTATCTGCAGGGCTGTCCATATTGGGGGTTCTGAAGCAGGTAAGAGCCAAGTCACTAGTCAGCATAGTTACCAGGCCAAGGAGGGCATGGGGGGGGTGTTCAAAGGTGTCTGAGAAAACTCATTTGGCAAAATTTCCACTCTGACACAAACCGTAAAGATTTTGTGTTAAATAAATAGCTTAGAAACCACCACAGTGGGAAAGCCCACTAGTTTTCATTCTGTGATCTCCCTCAAGCAGTTGAAGAGAATTTAGCTCTGATGTTCTAAGAGGACCACCGTCCTTTGCACCACACCTGTCTTGTTCTAGGTGGTACACTAGTCCCGGCTGGGCAATGGTAGCTATAATGTTGGGAAGTCTGAGAAAACTCAGTGCGTTGTTCATACTGTATTTTTCTTTATGTTTATTTAATTTCATGTGTACAGGTGTCTTGCCTCGGTGTGTATGTGTACCACCCGAATTCCTTGACTCTCAGGAACTGGAGCTAGGGATGGTTGGTTGTAAGCCACCACGTGGGGACTGGGAAGAGGCGGGCCATCTCTAACCCCAACACTTGTTTTGTTTTGTTTTAATTTTTTGTGAATTCCCTGGAAGCACGATTCATCCCCATACCTAAGCAGCTTGACTAAAATATCCTCCCTGGAGGCGTACATGATTCTCATATGGGTGTTACACTCTGGCGTCTATGAAAGAAACTCTCGTTTTCGTCCTAAAGGGGGGCAGGCAGCTTTCCAGAAGGAAGCGGAAAGGGCGAAAGGCCGTTGAAAAGCGAAAACGCTGCTTGGTGTCCGCGAAAACGGGGCATGTCCAGAAGCACATGGTACGAAGTGGCACTGTGCAAACGGGCCATCGTCCCCTTCCCGGTGAGCGGGCGGCGCCATCGCTGCAGCTGCAGCTGCAGCAGACGCGGGGCTCCCGGGCTGCGGTGCACGCGAGGCTCGCCTGCCCGGGGTGGGGAGGGGTGGGGAGGGGTGGGGTGGGGAGGGGGGGGTGCCGATGCTGCCGCGCGCCCGGTCCCCGCGGCGCCCCCGCCCGCCGCCCACCTGGCTCTCGCCGACGCAGAAGACGCGGCCGCCGCGGCTCAGGCACACGCGCGCGCCCCCGGGCTGCGCGGCCGCGCGGCAGAAGGTGAAGGAGCAGCGCGAGGCGCGCAGCCGCCGCACCGTGGACAGCACCAGCGCGCCCGGACGGCGCCCCCAGCGCACCCACAGGTACAAGTAGCACAGCGTGATGAGCATGGCCGGCGCCCGCCCCGGCCGCCCCGGCCACCCCGGCCCGCGCCAGGCCCCGCCCCGGCCGGAAGCGAGCCTGGGGAGGGAGGGGAGGGGAGGGGTGCAATGCGCGTGCGCTGCAGGAGGGTGCTGAGGTCGAGGGCGGGTGTGCTGGGAAGGGAAAGGATGCTGGTGGCGGGGAGAGATGCTTGCAATGGAGGGGGGGGGAGGGCAGGACCGCGGAGAGGGTGGCGCGGGTAAACAGAGGCTACGGGAATGGAGAGGCCGGGCCAGGACTGAAGATGGCACTGGAGGAGAGGTTACTGTCTCGTCTCTGGAGACTGGCTGCTGCAGGAGAGGGAGGGAGGGAGGGACGGAGCAGGACAGCCAAGGCTACACAGAGAAACCCTGTCTAGAAACTCACAGAACCCCAGACTTTTCTTCAGATGGTGTAGCAACAATAGATTTAACAGGAGAATCCGAACCCACAGGACTGGGCTCATAAACAAGAAGGCACACTGCAAGGGATGACGAAATGCAACCGCACGCCCTGCATGGTACTAGTTAACACGGAACAGGGTTTGTGCTGGATAGTCCTATATCAACTTGACAAAAGCTAGAGTCACTGCAGAGGAGGGCCGCTGTAGGTAACAGGCTGGTGGCCTACAGAGCGAGTTCCAGGACAGGCTCCAAAGCTACACAGGAACCCTGTCTCGGAAAACAAAACAACAAACAAACAAAAGCCACAGAGTTAACTGAAGATAATTTTCTGATCCCCAAATATAAAAACATTAATTAAGACACCAAGAACACCGGGCCATCCACACGGCCTAGCCTGATGACCCAAGTTCAGTCCCTTACACCCACTTTGTGATTGACCACCACACTCACGCTATTGCAAGAGGGCTCTCTCTGTGTCTCCCTATCTCTCTCTGTGTCTCTTTCACACACACACACACACACACACACACACACACACACTTAAAAGCTACCAAGAGCACTAACTACAAAGGAAAAGATGAACACACTAAAACTAAGATCCTCAGGCTGGAGAGATGGCTCAGCAGATAGGAGCTCTGGGGTCTCTTCCCGACAACCTAAGTTCACTTCCCAGCACCCGAACTGCAGCTCACAGCTGTCTGCAACTGCAGCTCTGAGGGATCCAACATCCTTTCTTCTCCTCTTTGGAAACCAGGCACACGCCTGGTACCCAGAAATACATGTAAGTAAGCAAAACACATAAAGACATAAGATAAAAGGAAAAGTGTGAAGAATGTAAGTTAAGACCCTCCACTTATTTAGAGGCACTATTAAAAAGGGACACACTCTGGCACAAAGAGGAGAAACCTAAAACACAGGTCGTCCATAAAGGGTTCAGATCCGGAGCAAACAGAATGCCAAATTGTAAGACGCGGTCAGGTGGGAAGGAGTTCGAGGACACACTCTGCTTAGCGAGCACTGCACAGGCAGCTGACTGGCAAGCCACCTTTATTTTCTCCTGGCATTGGGAAATAAAGTCCCGAAGAGAACTGGTTTAAACCCATCTGTCTAGCGGGGACCCCCTTTGTGAGCCCTGTAAGTTCACTTCCACACCCCACACCTCACACCCCACACCCCACACCATCACACCACACCCCACACCCCACACCCCACACCCCCACACATGCCCCTGCAGAGGTCATCGTGCTGACTTGCCACAGCCCCTGGCTTTCCTGACCACATTTTCACCAGACAATAGACACCACTACTCAAACAAAGGGGAAACTAACAGAGAGGACTGGCTGGAGCTTGACAAGGGTGCAGAGGGCGTGCGCGCGGTGTGTGACAGAGCGGACACCTCTGCCTACAGACAGGTGTGCAGTGCAGCCGCTAGCAGCAGCTGTCTCTGCCACCAAGGGGCTGGGCATAGAAAACCCGGGAGTCCCCTTAGTCCCAGGGCCCAGGTCACATGGTGGAAGCTAGAAGCCACCAGTCTCTCCTGAGGAAGACAGCCGGCCAGAGGACCAAGACACCAGCAGAGGGAGGAAGAAGGGAAGCTCCCCGTGCTTGTGGCCTAAGATCCCTGTGGCTAAAATTCCCCGGAGCCCATTAGGGAGAGACAAGGGCAGGAGATGTGGGTGAGCGGCCAGCTTCTGCGCTTCCTGAAATGACTCAAAGTCCTGTTTCTGGTCCAGTGTTTACAGGAATCGTGGCCCCTCAAACTCATGCCGAAGCCCTAAGCCCTGGAACTTCTCAAGTAGCTGCATTTAGAGGCAGAGCCTTTAAAGAGACAATTAGGTGAAAATAAGGTAGGCGTGTGAGTGGCCCCTAATCCAATAAGCATGAACTGTGTCCTTTCCGGGAGCACGGACATGCAGAGGACACAGAGAGATGTCTTCTACATCCAAGGAGAGACAAAACCAACCCTGGACACCCTGGGTCTGGTGCTGGATTTTGTAGGTCCCACACCATGCGATACTTTTTTGTTAAGTCGTCTCCAACCACCAGACCTGGGTCAGTTTCTGCTCCACCCTCCAGTCCCTCAAGGACCCTGCCCACCCTGCTGGCTTCAGCCACCTCCACCCACTGCCACCGTGAAGCCGTCCTGTCCCAGGCTTCAGTGCCACACTGTCCCCTCCAGGAATCTACACTTGCACGGTCGCTTGGCCCCTACCAAGACAGCTTGAATAAAACTAAAAGCGTTTTTCTCCAAGAAGTTACCTCTCGATTCCTTCTCTCCGTTCTATGCTCGCGACAGCATATTCTCCCTTACTCTATCAACCAGAATTTAGTCATTTTGGAGTCCTAACTTCCTCCTGCCCCCATGACTCTTCCTACAGCAGGATGTCGGCCCCATATCCAATGTTTGCACGCCACTCCTAGAAGTGAACAAAACGGCGGCCTTGACAGTTGCCCTCCGCCAGGTCCCACAGCTGTGTTATCCAAAGAGGCTCCATTTGAGTTTCTGGAGACACAGCTGTCACCCTACTGATCCTGGTCCAAAGGCCAGCAGCGCCTGACAACGGCGGTCATTCATGCCCGGCGTTCAAGACCATGCACGACACCGACCTAGCCTAATCTGCCACTGTCTCGCTTGCCACTCCACATCCAACTGTGCCCACGGCACACCAGGTGCTGTGCCAATCATGTCACACGCCCAGGCCTCTCAGGGAGCTTGTGCTGTGGCTCGAAGCTGTTTGTCCCTGAGGGCTTACGTGCCGGCGCTGGCTGCAGTTCTCAACCTGTGGGTCGTGACCTCTTTGGGTGCCGAAAGGACCCACTCACAGGGTCGCCCAAGACTATCAGAAAACACAGCTGTTTACATTATGATTCATAACGGCAGCAACATTACAGTTATGAAGCATCAATGAAAATAATGTTGTGGTTGGGGGTGGCCACAACATGAGGAATTGTATTAAAGAATCGCAGGATTAGGAAGATTGAGAACCGATGCTCTAGAGGCTTCCTCCCCACTCCCCACCCCTACCCCCACCCCCGTATAGCAGTAATAAGAGGCAATGGGGCCTTGAAGACAGGACCAGCAGAGCAGGCATGTCCAACCTTCTTACATCTTATAGATGAAAATGAAAAATAGACATTTTCATCCATAAGCCTCACACTTGAGAAGTGGATGGTCAAGTTACCAGGAAAAATAATAATAATAATCTCACAATGTTGTCAGTGAGTTTATGATTTTGTGTTGGGTTGCATTTACAGCTATCCTGGGGCTCCAGGGTGGGCCTGTCTGTCTAGGAGAATGCAGGCAGGTCCTGGGGGATTGGTACCCCCGGAAGGAAGGGGTTAATGTAAAGCCCACAGCACAGCACTCAGGTGAGGTCTCCTCACAGAGCAGTAGATGTGATGGCCTCTGCACATGACGATTTCCCTTCCTGTTCCCCAGACAGAGCCCTGCAGAGGCCAGACTGACGGGGCTGCCCAGCCTTGGCCTTCAGACTCCAAAGCTATGAGCTGAATACGCTTTATTCATTGCCCGGCATCCAGCATGTGTTATAACAACAGAAAACAGATAGGCATAGTGACACAGGCTAATGGGAGGCGGAGGTAGAAGCGTCAAGACCAGCCTGGGCTCATAAGCAGACCTCCGAAAATAAAACGAAATAACGGAAAACGGATATACTCTGAAAAAAATGGCTGTTATGGCCACCTTCTTGCAGAGGACAAAAGAGGAATTTGGAATAACTTATCCAAGGTCTCGGAAGCAGATGGGGAAGCTAAGGTATGAGTTTATGGCTTTCTAGCTCCCGGGATGAGTGCCAACTGAGGGCTAAGACTGTGCTGTACACGGCAAACCCCAGAGATGAATCAACAGCCAAGGCTTGTACCGTAGTTCTGGGGACAAACGCACCTGCCACCCAAGCCAGAAGGTCTGAGTTCAATCCCTGGGACCCATAAGTTGTTCCCTGTCCTTCACACACATGCTGTTGGCATTCACGCAGTTGCTCGCACAGTGAGCATATGCACGCCGCCATTGTCATTATAATGTCATCATTATCATCATCACTGTCAAGATTCACAAGGCAACCTTACAGAAGGTACTCAGCTCAGAGGAGCTGGGACTGTCCCTAACTTGGTCACACCCAAAAGCTGTGGGTGGGAATTACCAAGGTCACCTGGGGAAACACTTTGCTCTGAAAATGCAATCTGTTAAGAGGAAGAGGCCTGGGGTGGTTTTCTGTGCAGTAGCTGCATATCAGTAATTCACTACAAGCCACAGGAACTTCAGGTGGTGGAAAACTAAAGCTAAAAGTTAAAGACTCGGCAGCCAGGCGTGGCGGCTCCTGCCTATAATCCTACTGCTCAGGAAACAGAAGTGTCTCTGTCAGTTTGAGGCCAGCCCTGGCTACACAGTAAGTGCCCAGGTGCCTTGCATAGAGTAAGAACCTGTCTGAAAAGAAAAACTGTTCTAGTTTGCTAGTTAAAAGCTCAACGCCAGGCACAGGGGTATATGTCCCTTACCCCAGCACCCAGAGGCTTATATATTAGAATGGTTAGTCTTGAGGAAATGGGAAGGATTAGCAGGTATGATCTTGTGGGGG